ACTCTGTTTAATGAAGCTGGTGATATATACAGAAGAAATAGAATAGCAATTAATCAAAACCCATTCATTAGAACTTATATGTAAACTTTTAAGATTCTGGGAATCAAGTTTTCAAATGTACCAAACAAAAAAGAAATGTTATTTTCTGACAAGTAATTATAATTATTAATATTTGTTTATATTTGCATTTGAATTTATCTTTTTTATCACATATATGCTAATACATTATGATCTATTCTATAAAATTAATGGTAACTATTATTGAAAATAACTATGTACTTTTTCAAAATCAGTAAACACACAATTCAAGATATTCTTTTCACTATAATAGAATTCATTATATATATTTTATTTACATTTCAAAGATGAAAAACTACTATAGTCATTCTTTCTTTCATTTTTTTGGTTTTTCAACATAGGGTTTCTCTGTGTAGTTTTGGTGCCTGTCCTGAATCTCACTCTGTAGATGTGCCAAGCCTCAAAGACACAGAAATCTACCTGGCTCTGCCTCCCGTGTGCTGGGGTTAAAGGCATATGCCAACACTGCACAACTGTTATAGTCGTTCTTAAGGAATAAAGTCAACATAGTTTCATTCACAAATCCTGTTATATTTTAATAATAAAATAATCATGATGATATTGTATTTAACAACAAATGCTTGCTAGTTTTGAAACTGAAGTACTGGGATATTTCCTGCAATAAAAGATTTGATAGATTCTATTTATTTCATTGAGCACCTAGAAATAGGGGTAAAGAAGATTTCACTACTAGCCATCTTGCTTACTGTAAGGAGAAAGACAAAGATCAAACTTTAAAGGCTTTTGCTTTCCAATGTCCATTATGTTTGTACACATATATAAATGGTCATAGGGTTGCAACAAGAATTCTCATTCAGTGTAGGAAAACCATAAATGTTTATTCATTATTTTTGTCGATCATATAGTGTGACCTAATTTATCAAAACAACATTTTTGAATAATTTATATAAAATAAATGACATGAATCTATGTTGCCAACAAGGATTGGCTTAAAAGGGCTTTTCTCTGAAACTATGACTTAGATAAGTAAAGAACATTTACTGACTGAAAGAGAGGTACAAAATCTATTTTAAATAATATTTTATTTTGTGTGAATGACATTTTAGCATTTTGCTCCCACATATGCTTATGAAATAATTGAGTACCTGTTGCCTCTGCAGGCAAGCAGAGGCTATGGAAATATCTAGAAGTAAATTTACAGAGTTGTATGATGTCATATGTGGGTTTATGGCATCAAAAATGTTCCCCTGAAAGAACAGCCATTTTTATTAACAGCTGAGCTATCCCTCTAGTCGCACACAGTCTGTTTTCATTATCCTCTTTCTCTTTAATGTAACATTTTGTATGAAAACTGACTGCCATCATTAAAAGGGAAGACAATTAAAATAAGTTGTTATTCAGGTCAATCGCAAAGATATAAAAATGAAGATACAACTTCAACAACAAAACATTTCAGGATAATTATTGACTAATTACTTGCAATTAATAATCCCTTGGGTCACTGTGTGTCTTCATGCACTTTCATGGAGTCTCCCTTATATTTACATTGGCCACCTCTCAAATGGATCTCATGTTTTGTGCAGCATTTTCATACACACATGCATAATTCTGTCTAGTTATTCAGTCATTTCTCCTCAATAACTCTGTATCTTTTAGGCTTATACACCTTGTATTTTTTTTATAGAAGGAAGAAAATAACTTTGCAGTCCAGTTGAACAAATGAACACACACACACACACACACACACACACACACACACACACACACACACAGAGTTTTATCTCAATTGAACTTGTCCAAGCTTGAAAGAAACTACTCCAAATGTAGATGCAATCTAGAAAACCCAACATTGTATAGAAAGAGTGAGTGTTTGATACACACAATGTATGAAAGAATAAAAGCATCACATTTTGTCTTAGAAGTATATGCAATTTTGGATCAGTAAGTCATATATTATTAACTAAATAGTCCAGTAGATAATGTATATATTGTGAATTTGTTAAAGCAATCTATGTCAAATTTTAGTTCAAAGTGCAGATACAAATAAAAGTTGGCAACTGATTCTAACACAACAAACACATTTAAGAAAGACAAACTAAAGTTCTGGCAGTGACTGATGTTTAAATTCAATTAAAAAAAAAGAATTTTGAAGCATGGCTCTTGTAAAATGTTAACATGCAGCCTGAGAGCAATTGCCACCAACAGATAATGAATATAAAGATGAGTGTGAGGGAGAATTAACAATGTATTTGCAGAAAAGAATTCACAAAATGTGGTAATGATATACTTAGGAAAGCAAATTAAATTTCATATTATCTTACTAGTTGATTTCTTTACTACAGGTGAAATGTAACAGATATAAATTAATGCTTCAAAAGGAAATCATTGGTAAAAGATCAAAACAATGAGAAAACTTCAATAGTAGCCAGCTTCATAAAAACTGCTGTCCATTCCTCATCGTTTTTATTTGGACTCCATTTAAGTCTGAACACCGATTAATGCACAAAGTATCTACTGTATCCCACAGATTAACTACATAGTTTGCAAATTAACTTTAAGATGAAAATGAACAAAGAAACATGTAGTCACCAAATGTGTTGTTGTTTTTTGTCAGCCTGACACAAGTCCACACTTGTGAGAAGATGGATTCTAAATTAACAAAATTACTCCATGAGAGTGCCCTGTAGGCAAGTGGTACCTCCACTCAGAAGGTTGTCAAGTGTACATTTAAAAGAATGAAGTAAGTTGTGAGAAGCAAACTAGAAGCAAGCAAGTACTGCTCCATGGCCTCTGTTTCAATTCACACTAAGTCCCTGCTCTACTTTGAGTTCCTGCTATGGCTTCCTTCAGTGATGGAACTATAAGATTGAATAATCTTTTCCTCCACATATTACTGTTACTTTTCCTCATGGTGTTTTATTACAGAAATAGAAACTCTAGGACAGCACAAACCTCATAACTAAAACTGTGTTATTATTGACTGTGTGTTACTAGTTAATAGTGTTATTCTGTAACACTATTAACTAAACATTAAATCATTGCCTATAGGCTTCCTAATTCTGTAAGATGCTGTTCATTTTATTTCTCTTCTTCCCCATATAAAGTGTTAGACCATTTTCCAAGTTCTATTATTTATATCAAATTTCACAGAAAAATCAAAAGAAAACAACCACTCAGCTGATTCTTTAGGAAGCCATCAGATTCCATGAATTTTCTTCATGTGTCCAGGATCCAGGGAAACTCTTTTCATCTAAGAACTGTTTGACAACAGTTACATTGCTTTTCTGGTGTTCCCTAAATATGCCACTACACTATAATCTAATTAATTACACTCAAATCATTCATGTACTTTCTTTGTGTATGTGCTTGTGTACATGCCTATGATGTGTGTATTTTGCATATCATGAATTCACTCACACATGCAATTATGGTCACTCTCCTATGGAGATCTTCTTCCAGAATACATGACTGGTTTATTTATACCATTTTTTCCCTCTCAAAAAACTGACCCACATCTCTAGACAAATAATGACCCTCATACTTCACCCATATTTAATATCCATCATAAACTAATTATAAGCATGCTTATTTAAAATTAGTTTTTTGAGGGGGTTGTATGTTTAACTTATATAAGTACCAAATTCTAGAAAAGAATTACTAAAAATCCATTATGATTCTCTTTTTACTTTTAAACAAAATATTCTAAGTACATGATAATACCATAAATTACATAAGTAGAGAAAAAGACCAAAGAAGGAAAACATGGGGAGAACAAAAAAAAAAATGAAAGAAGACAAGGAATCTGTTTGCTATCAAAACAACAAATTTAAAGGAGTCTAAAAATATTTTAACAAAATTTGTTTTTGACACATTATGTCAAATATGTATCATTTATGTTGTAAGTATATTCTATCATAGAACAATATTATCTCATATTCAAATCAGAATGACACCCCTAATTTATAATTGGTATGTTAAAAGAAAAAAATCAGGAAAAGTGCAATGGGAAATATATTATACACTCAATGGAAAATGATTTCAAATTTTAATAAATAAATTTCAAATTATGTTAGCATGTTTTAAAATAATCATGACTAAATAAATTATCATTTTAAAAAGATTTTTAAATTAAATTTGACTGTAATTGTGCTATCCAAATTTTGTCAGACTTAATAAGAGAATTTTTATATTCATAAATTCCCTTTGCTTCAAAATTATTTTTGATCTCCAAAGTAGTTGATAACTTTTTCCCATTGAAACCCATCTCTTATTCATTCAATGCATTCATGACTTTAATGGCAACAATGTTGAATAGGAACTTGAAATGAGCAAAGATGCCGGTAAATGTTTAAGCACCTTTTTTTAAAAAAAATATTCCTTGTTCTTTATGGCTGTAGCAGTTTTTATTATACAAATTATTTCCTTTAACTCGTTATGCATATCTTATAGAATTTATTAATCCACTGAATATAATCATCTAAACTTTTTAAACATAATTTGAAGGCTTATAGAAAAATTGCTTTGCAGTACAGGGTGACAAATGATAAAAATATAAATTTTAGCTCAATTCTACTTGAATGTTCAAGTTTGAAATTAAATTCATTTCAGATATTAATGAAACTAAGAAAAAACAGCATAATATATACAGAAGTCTGTATTTCATACATACAGCGTATCCAACAATAAAACCATCACATTATATGACAGAAGTACAAACAATTTTGAAGCAGTAATAAAGTACTAATTAAATAGAGTTCACTAGAAAAAAGTTTATAGTTTTTCTTCTAATTTTACTTTAAAAAATAGTATTATATTACATGATTCTGCAAATATTTTACTTAAAAATTTTTTCACAGGAAAGGTTAATATGGAAACTAAACCAACGTTCTACCAAACGTATACTCAAACATTTTAATCTTGTCATTGTTAATAAAGCACTGATGTAAATTGCTATGCAATACCTTCTGGAGACATCTCCGGTACAGTGGCTTCATAGGGTTCATATAGGAACTTCGGTTCATTGTCATTGATATCCGAGACTCTGACGACAAACTCAGACTCAGGTTCCACAGCCTTTCCAGTGCTGGTGTCTATTACCTGGGCTCTCAGCATGTAGAGGGATTGTTCCTCTCTATCGAGCTTCCGAATGGCAAATATGTCACCTGTTCGTTCATCAATGCTGAAGCTTCCCGCTCCAGTCCCCAGTAGATTGTACTGGAAAGAGCTGTTTCCATTGTCTAAATCAGATCTTAGCTGCAAGTAAAGACAGACAACTGTATTTCTGGATATATACAAATTCAACTTGGTATTCATAATTTTCATATATTTTAATGTTTCAAGTGAATAAATCTACATCATTCTTTTTTAAATTATTATCATTGGTTTTTTGAGACAGAGTTTTTCTGTGTAGTCCTGCATGTATTTTAACTGACTCTGTAGAATCAGCTGGCTTTGAATTTAGGGATCCACCTGCCTCTTTCCCTAGTGCTGAGATTAAATACATGAACTACCCCCACCCACTTTATAATTCTTTATCATGTCAACTGAGGTAAAATATTATCATATGTATAACCATGTCAGTAATGGAGAGGTTCCTGATTTCCAGTATAATGAAGTAGTAAGATTTTATTATTTTAAACAAATAAGTCTAATTAGTTTAGACTTATTTATAATTAGACTAATTATGATTAGTCTACAATTACATTATTCATAATTAATCTGATTGTAATTTAATATTATTTATAATTAGAATAATTAAACTTATTGGACTTAAAAATAATTCTAATTAGTTTAGACTAATGAGTTTAGGATTTTCAGCCTGGAGAGATGGCTCAGTGGTTGAGAGCCCTGCCTGCTCTTCCAGAGGACCGGGTTCAAATCCCAGAATCCACAAGGTAGCTCACAACTGTCTGTAACTCCAGTTCCAGGGGATTCAATGACTTCTGGCATTCATAGCCACCATATATGCATGTGTTACAAATACATTCATGCAGACAAATGTTTATACACATCACTAAAAATACACTAAGTATATAACATGCAGAACCTGTCATTTATGTGTCGTAGCCACGTATATGATTGCCTGCAGGTATCTTAGGGAAAAAAAGACCAGAAAAATTTAATTTGTGTCTAGCACATACAGGCACATATAGGAAGGTTTATAATATTTGTGGTTGAATCCATATATATATGGATTCAACCACAAATATTATATATATATACTTTGTAGCTAGGATAGATAAAGTGTTCATGGATTCTGAGAACCAGGCTAACATGTCACTCTCCCAAATAGTCTAAAAACAGTAAGTGAATTCTGAGGTATTTACCCTTTGTACCTAATTAAATTTTGCTGCCATCTAACTGCAGGTAACTTATTTTGATACATCTATTTAGAGCAAGAGAGTTACAGAGAAGGGCATGCTATTGTAATTACTTTTGTTTAAATCAATTCAAATAATAATAATAAAAAATATAGAGATTGGAGCAGTTCTGTCTCATGCTGGGGGATGTTCTGTATTGCAAATGTGTTGCTCTGATTGGTTAGTAAATAAAACACTGATTGGCCAATAGTCAGGCAGGAGGAAGTATAGGCGGGACAAGGAGGAGAAGAATTCTGGGAAGTGGAAGGCTGAGTAAGAGTCACTGCCAGTCACCACCAGGACAAGCAGCATGTGAAGATGCCGGTAAGGCAAGGTATAGATTTATAGAAATGGATTAATTTAAGCTATAAGAACAGTTAGCAAGAAGCCTGCCATGGTTATACAGTTTATAAGTCTCTGTGTTTTCTTGGTTGGGTCTGAGCGGCTGTGGGACTGGGGGGTGAGAGAGATTTGTCCTGACTGTGGGCCAGGCAAAAAAAAACTCTAGCTACAGTCTCATTAAGGAAAAAAAATTTAAATATTGTTCTCAAAGTGAAAACAAACTTTTTTTTTTTGGATTTGAACTACACTAATTAAATGATGTGTGTAGGCCTCTGAAATTCCTGAGCTGGTAAAAGAAATGGAATTAATATGCTTAGTTAAAAATGAGTGAACATAAGTCAACAGTTACTTAGCATAGCAGCATATCAAGCTGAGTACTGCTGATAAATGGCATTTGACTCTGTGGCTGCTTTGATCCATTTCCACAAATAACATAATTACATTTCTTAATGATGATAAATGGATATAACACATTCATGAAAAGACAGAAATAGAAGTTTAAAAACTGGACTTTCCTCTTCAAGTTTTGAGTTGTGTTTCAAATTCAAATTTATTATTGTGCCCATGTTTGGTAATTTCTAATAGCTCCCTTAAATATGTGTAAATCACCAGACTTTCCTAACCCATTCACATCACATCTTTATATAGCCATCTATTGTAATTATTCCAGAAAATAAGTACCCGTCCAACATATTGTCTCGTATCCATTTCCTCTGGTACAACAAATTGGTTCCACACCCAGCCACGCTTAGCTCTTCCAGGAAACGGGGCTTCTTTCTGAGCTCTCCCAGCTGGCAAGTTCTCTGCAACTTTAAGGCAATACCCAAGGAGAGGAATCACCAACATCCAACGTTTCAGGAAACAGCAATTCATTGTTGTGTTTATTTGGATTCTAAGCATTATTCTGCAGAAAAAAAGGAATGATGTAAACAAAATGCATTTGTTTCTCAATACCCCCTTATAATCTTAAGTATCCTGTATATTCCTAAAACACAGAAAACAGAACAAAAATTGACATTAAAAAATATTTTCTCACATAATTACTATAGACAGGTTATAACATTTGCAGCTGGGAATAAGGGAATAAAAAGACATTCAATTTATCTTCCAATTAAGCTAGTTAATTGTATTTTGTAGCTCAGCAATGATCTTATTTGTAATGTTCTGAATTTCAGCGCAAGCACCATTTGTTTTAAACTGCCCTCATAAATCTGCCAGAAGGTTGCAGTATTCCTTTAACAATCTCTTTGATTGACAGCTGACATTGAGATAGATCCAATTTTATTATAATTTAACTGGCTTACTTCCTTCTTTATTTCTATCTCAGGAAAACTCCAGCTAACAGATTAATGCAACAATCAAGCCAGGAGATGAAAAAATATCTCTTCCTTTCACATCATAGAAATAAGATTTACCTTACAATTTTTCATTATGATATTATGACAAATAAATGCAATTCAAAATAAAATTCCAACCTGAGAGATTTAAAAATTAGTGAGACTGGTGTTACAAAGCACTTTGACTAAAAAGTCAATACAAAGTTCTTTACTCTTTGAAAGTTAAATAATTAGTGTTTGTAAAGATGGCTCTGTCGTTGAAAATGGAATAATGAGGGGAAAAAAGCACTCTTATCACATCAAATAAATGACATTATTAGAGAACAAATATAAGCTGATGGATCACAGGAAATATGTAAATTGAAAAATGGATATGAATGCTATTGTCCATTAACTACTAAAACACTCCAGCCTATTTCCACTACTCAGGACCCCATAAGCCTGAGGCCACTCTCTCCACCTCTGACAGGGCGGCCACTCTCACCTTCCCTACATCTGCACAACATCTGCACAGTGCTTTCAGTGAATATTTTGTATTTGTCACCTGATGGATATTTGGTTGTCCTAAAGTCTTATTCTGTTATTCTGAATTTTTAGTGAAATTTAACTTTTGTTTTACTCTTAAAATTGATAAATTATGATACAAAAATTAGCTTCATTCACTTTTTTCATTAAGAAAAGTACTACAGTGAATCCTTTTAAGAATTTAACAAGATAATGATTAGAAAAGTCACAGCCTCTCAGGTTAGAAGCTTTTTGGCATGGTCTTGCTGTAAATACTCTAAATTTATTTTTGAACACTTTCAGAGAGAATATTTATATCTTTGGCTCTTGTTAAGAAGGGTTGTTACAAAACAATTAATTAAGAAAGAATACAGGGATTCTGTGATTCGTCTGTAGTCCTTTCAAGAAGCTGTGTTATTGTTATGCATTTACTTAATGAAGGTCAGCAAAAAAAAAAAAATTCAGCTTAGGGTAAAGTAGGATGAATTTCATCCTTAGATTTAAGTTTCAAATTTTGTGCTGCATTTTGTTGAAAATCATGTGTGTGTGTGTGTGTGTGTGTGTGTGTGTGTGTGTGTTAGAGATCCAACCAAGAAATCTTGTGCTTCATAAATAATTGAATTGCAACTACTGAGCTTCAATCTGGTTCCTAGCTTAATGGTTAATACATAGACAGACAGACAGATGATAAATAGGTACAATAGCTCTGATAGAACGAATAAGTATAAGTAAGTGGTAAATATGATTTGAACACAAGAATTACATTTTGTGTAACTTGAAAAATCACCACCACGGTTAATATGAAAGTAAAAGTGTCATATTTAAGTAAAACTTTTTTCTGTTAAGTCTATATTTTTATACTTTCTGTAAATTTAATTTTTATTTTATTATTTATAGCATTCAAAGTGGTGAGTGTGGGGGGGGGGGGGGGGGGGGGGGGGGGTGGGTGTGTTTGTGTGCGTGTGCATGCACATACCACAGCACACATGGGAAGTCATTGAAAATTTTTGGAGTTAATTCTCTTCTTCAATGATGGGTTTTAGGAATCAAATCATGCAATCAAGCTTCACGTCAAGTCCTTCTGCCTGTGAAGCCATTTTGCCATCATCTATTTATCATTACCTGCAACGAACAATTTAAAAGAATGAAGCTAATTTTTGTATCATAATTTATCAATTTTAAGAGTAAAACAAAAGTTAAATTTCACTAAAAATTCAGAATAACAGAATAAGACTTTAGGACAACCAAATATCCATCAGGTGATAAATACAAAATATTCAAGCATTTTTGAATCATGATTTAAATATGTTTGCATGAACAGTTCGTTAATGCTTCTCTGTCTTCTTTTAGCATCTTCTTTTGCTATTTTGACATTAGTTTTCTTCACACTTGTGTGATGAACAAAGATTAATTCAGTCTATGGTTTTTCCCATATTCTAAATTTCAATAGCTGTGACCTCTGCCATGATTTGATATATTTCTTTACCATGCATATTTCATAAAATACCAGAGGCTTGAATAAATGCCACTTAATGTTTTTCAAAAATAATCAGGATGAATTAGGTCAGTCTCAAAAAGAAAACAGCATTTTTTTCCATTTGTAGGGGTAAGATGTTACAGACAAATAACTTGACGTACTAATACAGCACTACCTAGGGGAAAGTAAGTAATAGAAACAGAGAGTGGAAGTAAGGGAATGTATTGTGTTGGTGGGGAATATACTCAAAGCTCATTATATATTTGCACAAAAATATCTTCATATAGACCTGATTATAAAATATGAAGCTTTTAGCATATAAGAAAATGCTAAAAGGGCTGAGAGTTGCAAACGCCAAGAATGGCTTTGCATAGAAAATGCAATAGAACAGCTCTGAACTATAGCTTACTTTTCCTGGTTTGGTCTGACAGAATGATTGAATGCTTTTGTACAAAAATCAGAGCCTTAAAAACAAGGATTTGGTGAGA